AAATTTTGTCGTTTGGACAATTTGAAGCAGTCGGAACAATAACGGTCATTAACTTTTCCTGTCAAGTATAATCAAGTAATCTAATTGAATACGGTTTCACCGAGTGTAATAGGGATTGTAATCAATCACTATTTGTCAGTAACGTGTACAATACTGCCCGTAGGTCGTGCAGAAGAAAAAAAAAAGGCATGATATTTAAATAACGACATAGTATAAAAGATAAAAAATGTAAAGGTGGCTTTATATATAGTGTGTTAGCGCACCGCAGATCGGAGCACGTGGAGCGAAACGTCGCGCTGCAGAACCCAGAAAAGAATCCTGGGTTCAATCATCACCCCCTGCCCGTTTCGATCTGGATAAACATCGTACCGGCGTGCGGTCGTGAATCACTTCTGCGTGATGCACGTTATAATAAAGACCCCAGGTTAGCGGTTGCACTGCACTGGCCAGACATATCGTCTACAGCTGAGACACCAGACGCCCCACACTGTCTAAACCATCCAACAAACACAGAGAGGTTGGTGATAGTCGAGGGAAACTTTGATTATTTGAGTGTGTTTTGCGTTGTTGCCGGCATTGAAGAGGCCGCACGCCGTGTTGGTCGCCCGCTCGCAATCCCTTCGAGGCAGCGCGGCCTTTGAAGGCTCGACCGTCTGCGCGACCGGCGTCGCTCCAAGCCCGCTCCTTGACGAGAACGCGCCGCGTCCCGTCCGACTCTGCTCGACGTCCGGGGCGCGCCAGACGTGCCGGGCAAGGCGGAAATGGTAGACGTCAGTAGTAGGGGGGAACTTGTCCGACTTCAATGGTGTCGTTTCTCTTCAAAAGGGCCGGCTATTTTGAGACGCGGTCAAGCCAAGTCAAGCATGCATCCGCGCGGCGCGCATCGAAAGCAGACAACGAGACGCGACGCGTTCGTATTCGTCTGCCGTCGATGATGATGATGATGATGATGATGATGTTGGCGGACCACAAACAAACAGATACAACCTAGAAGAGAAGCCCGGCGCATGACGACATTCTTAGTGGATCCCCGACTCGCCCAAAGCCGCAAACGCGTGAAGCTTGAGGAGTCGCCACAAAGCGGTAGGTGGCGCTGCGCACTGCATCCACGCCGCCATCTTGCTCGCTTGGGGTGCGTTCGGACGAGTCATAATCCGATTACGAAGCCTTGCTAAGGCGTCGTAATCGGATGATGGCCGCGCCAAAGCGCGCCCCACTGAGCAAGATGGCGGCGCCCTGAGACCGAACTTGCGAACATGAGCGTTTAGCCAATGGGCGGAGCTCGTCGCCCGTTAGAACCAGCGGATTTTGCGATAACACAAAATGGCGTTAAATCCTTTTTTTTTTTCTCGTTTATTCCCAAGGAGGTTAGAAGTACTAGAAGGGGGCAAGTTGCAATATTGGTGAGCCTATTCATAAAACGTTTAAACGATATTGTGCCCAACGTGACCGCAGATCTCTCTGGCGATTGGTGCGCGTGACATGTCACGTGCGAGATGGATGGTAGATTGTAGGATTCCTTGCAGGCTTGCGCGCGCTCCGTCCGGTAGGTTTTATTAGATCAAAGGCTAGACGAAGGCTAGCTGCGGTCACGTGATGTGGTCATGTTGGGCTAATAAGTGAGGAGAGTAAGGAGGAAAATGAGAAAGAGGCATCAAGGGGGCATGGCATGTGGAAGCTACGCGGCTGACGTCATGCCCTCTTCTACCCTTCTATCCTCCTTGTTTATTCCCGAGAAATCGCATAGAATCCCTCTGAGTCAGAGCCCCAAAACGGCGGACGGAAGTAGTCATCATCCCCCCGGTTGTCAGACTACGCTGCAGGGGTTGCCAGACGGTGAAAATCGCCCAACTCTTTCGGTATGAACGGCTCCGCCACTAGTTACAGCCGTCTGTACTAGGAGAATTTGTCATTTTTGCATGAAAAAGCAGATTTTTGTTTGAAAACAGGAACACCAAAAAATGCTTATTTGTAAGATATTTTTTCTCTTAGGGGCGCGTTGGTATTGCATTCAATTTTGCCTGTAAGTTTTGATATTAGAGATCGATAAAACGTGAGCGGTCTATGAATGCAGCGATTTATTACAGGCCTAACAGAATACCGATAAGCGATAAATCTTTTTAACCGCGAATTTAAGTAGGCTCACTCAGAGTGGAGTGGGGAAACGAAAACGAATCTCCATCTTGTGTTCTCGCGAGGTCGGCTGGTTCCAGATAGACTTAGCGGGTCGCAAGCTCCACCCATCCGCCAAACCTGGCACAAGCCTTGTCTTCTAAGGTGGTATTGACTCCGCTGGTTCGTCGGCCCCCATCCCGTGACGTGAAATCTGACGTTGACAATGCCGCTGCTCTTCCGTCTACACTGTCCCTCTTGCTATCACCAGAAGTGCTTGTTCCCTCCGAGTCGTCTGCAGTCGGCTCCTGTGAACGGACTCTTTATTGGTCCGCTCGTGACGTCACTGGCTGGACCAGGAAGGAACAAACGTTGGGGTTGGAAAATGTTTCACTCCGCCGGCGTCACTAGCCCAAAGAGCTCGGGCAAGCCGGCTCTCTTGGATGTGTCCTCTCCCTCCTCCTCTGCCTATTTTGAACCGTGACGAGAACGGTGAGGGTGGTGGTGGAAGGAGGGTCTGCTTGCGGCAGACGTCTGCTCTCCTCCCCGCCCGTCCCTGTCCTCCTCTCCAGCGTCTGATTTGTTTCGGCGCAATTGCCAGAGAAGTCGACCTTGGTGAGGAGGAAAAGCATTCCGCGTCGTCGTCCTTTCCACTCGCGCGGGTTCACCACTTTTCAGGATGTAAACAAACGGGGGCGATGAGCTACTCTGCGGGTTCCTCTCGCTGCCTCAGGGTGGCGCTAGCTCCCGCGGCGCTGCGGTTAGCTACGTCCGCATCGCGCCGCAGTAAAACTTTTGAAAGTAGCAACTGCCGGCGTCCCGGAGGGAATGGGGCCATGCGCTGGGAACGCCCGGTAGGATTGTCCGCAATCAAGTGTTCGCGGACACGCCTGCCGTCCTTTTCTGTGCGAGTGCTCATCCGCCGGCTCTTTCAATCAAGCGCAGAGAGAGCACCGAAACTTTGCGCTTTTTGTCTGTACATGTGTGTGTGTCTTGTAGAGTTCTCTCTTCTGCTCAGTGTTACCGTCGCCTTAATCACATTCTGCACTCGCTTTTGGGGAGAAAGCCACAGGCTCCTTTGAATTCTTTCTTTTTCTGTACGCAACAGCTTTGCGTTCTGCAATACGGCATCTTCTGTATATTGCGTACTTACGATGTAAATAAATGTTTTCTTGAAAAATAAAGACACTTAAGACTGCTTACGAGTAGGAATGCCAAAGCATTCCTACATGCAGCGCATTCTTTCAAGCAACTCGCCACGTCTTCCTTTTGCACACGGCGCTCCAGCGGTGACGTCACGCTCCCTCACCGCGCAGGCGCGGAGAACCCAGCCGGCTCCACGGCTTCCGTGACGATGCATCTGCGTTGCTCTGCTTTTCTTTGTGTTCTGTTTCTGAGGCGCGTCCGCTTTGACCTTGAGCACCACCGCCGGCTTCCACGACGAAGCATCTGCGTTGCTGTGTTTTTGGCCGATGGGGATTCAGCTGGCCGTTTCGCTGCTACAGACGGTTACAGACGACGCCGGCTTCGCTCCATGAGACAGTTAATGCTTTGACATTAAAAAAAATACGGGAGGACACTTAAGACTGCTTACCTGTAGGAATGCTTGCGGCATTCCTCCATGCAGCGCATTCCTACGCCTATGACGTGCTGTCGTCCGCGGCGCTACATGGCTGAAAGCAGTGTAGAAGACGTGAAACGGTAGAGCAGAGGGAGAGCGGGAATTTCCCACCCCACCCTCTCCCTTTCACCGGTGCGCGGGCCGCAGCGCCATGGAGAGGGTTTCCTTGTGGGGTGGCATACCTTAGAACTATGACGCGTCGCAGCCAATGAGTCTTCAGGTTCCGTTTCGCTCAGTCAACGGGAAAGTGGGGATTTCGCTCTCGTTTGCGCAAGGTTACAGACGCCGCGGGAATTGAGGTCGCGTTTCTCGCGGTTACAGGCGTCGCCAGCTTCGCTCCAGGTAGCAGTTAATGCTCTCGCATAAAAAAAAAAAAAAGGGTTGGGCGGAAGGTTAGGATGCCGAGCGGGCTAACACGTCTCAGCTCGGAGCGTGGAGCGAAAGCTTGCTCCGCAGAACCGCCTGGATTCCCACCTCTTGTCGTCTCGATCTGGATCAGTTTCGTACCGGCAGGTGTTTGTGTGATCGCGCTGCTGCGTGATGCACGTTAAAGACCATAGGTTAGCGGTTTTTTGAACTGGCTAGAGTTCTCATATTCAGCTGAGAGGCAGGTCACCCGATGGAGCGTACCAACTTCAAGGCTGTCTAAACTTACAAACAACGGTCTTCTTTTTTTTTTCTCGTCTTACCGGTTTTGACTGAATAAGTCGTGTGCGATTGCGCTGCTGAAAGTGCTGCTGATCACAATGTTCACACATGCAGCGGAGCGCTACAAGCGTAGCGCTAACCTCGCACTTAGCGCGTGCTGACGGCAGCGTTCACCAGCTTCGTATCGCACCGTCAAAACTGTTCCTCATGGCTGACAATAAGTAATTGACGACACGTGAGGAGCGCTACATCAGCGCTTCGCTGCATGTGAGAACCGGCCTTTACTGTCCTATTTTGCTTATATCTCCCGCCCCCCCCCCCCCCGCCCCCCCCCCCGCCCCCCCCCCCCCCCCCCCCCCCCCCCCCCCCGCCAAAAAAAAAAAGAAGAAAAGACATAAGAGCAATCGAAGTTGTATGGCATATAAACTTTTTTAACTATTACCTTATAATCACTGACGGCTTAAGATCCGCATGGCCGTGGCTTATTACCATCACCCTTCGTGACTGGTTCTTCGGCGATCCTGTTGGCTATTGCCGCCGTCTCATTGGCTGCAGAGTGATAATTAGATGCAGGGGACCCGCCGCAACCCGGTAAAGTGACCTCCCGCTCCCCGCAGACATGGAGTCCGAGTGCTTCCCTGCCGTGCCGGTGTCCACGGCGACGGGCCAGTCAGCCGGCAGCGTGGTCATCAAGCAGGAGCCCATGTCTCCGCCGCCGGCAGTCTCGAGCCCTCCTCCGCCGCCAGCTCCGACGTCGTCTTCGTCGTCGCAGTCCCGACGGCACGCCTCTTCGTCGTCTCGACTCCTCAGCTCGGCGCTGTCGTCGGCGCCCTTGGCGGGACCCGGGGCGCTGACGTCGTGCGTGTCCACTTCGGGCCAGCCCCTTCAGCAGCAGCTTCAGCAGCAGAGCCTCCTCAAGCAGCCCACCATCGTGCTGGCGGCCGCCAGGTCGGAGCGACACCTGGTCTTCCCCAAGGTCAACATAAAGCTGGAACCCCGTGAGTGTTGTCCCTGCGACAAATGACACCGCAAGGGCGGCAACGTGAGCCCGCTGCTTGCCGTTCCTGTAACGTACGTTACGAAGAGCTCTGAAAGGAACGTAACGTGCTAAATAACGTTACGTTCCTTTCAGTATTTAACGAGGCCTCGCGTGTCGGGCAGCCTCTCGACATATCTGGGGAAGAGGCCGCCCTTTGAATTGAATCGGTTTACTCATCACCGGAAAGTTGTCAACACGCCTAGTAAATCCAGTGACAATGTGCAATTAAACTCACAAAGAGACATAATTCGAGTTGCCGGTTCGTGGGAAGTCCCCGGTCCACCGTGCACATCGCACGATACTGCTGCGATAGCATTGAGGGCTCTCCAAACAGGACCCAGTAGATGGCGTTCCGTGACACAGCAGATGGAGTGTTTCCTAAATCGGTGTCTGGGGGGGGGGGGGGAGGAGGGGGTGGAGGAGGAGGAGGGGTACTTTCCTCCGCTTGCATCCATTAACAAAGGCTTAGAGTGTGTGTGTGACACGCTTTGTGAGAGTCTGAGCCTCTCACACAGCGTGTGAGAGGCTTAGACAATAGGGAGTTTTCGTAGACCGCGTTGCCCCCTCCGCTAAGCCTTCCGCAACGAAGAAGTTGCTACTGCGCCTGCGCGCCCATAGCCTTGACTGTGGAGTTCCCGCTATCGTAGCGGGTTGCGGAGGGCCTCGCGGGACGGCGAAAACGATCTACGAAAACTCCCTAATAGGGAATTGTAGTAGACCGTGCCCGCAGCCCGCTAAGCACCCGGATAGCGCTCCGTAATCCGCCACGAGACCTTGAACTATGCAGAGAAGGCTGGCGGCGCGCCTGCGCAGCTGCGGCGTTTCCTTCGGGGATACCGTAGCGGAGGAGAAAAACGATATACTACGACTCCCTAATGCCTCCGCCACTGTTATCGGTCTCCGATCTCCCGAAAACAAGAAAGGGGAAGAAAGGACGGCAAGGAGAAAGGCCGCTTTGTTTGCTTGGCTGATGTCCAAACGGAAAACGGACGCGCGCACACAGCAACTTTCCCGGCATATCGCGAAACACATGTACGACGAAACCGTCCGATCCGACGTCCGAGCAGGCAATACGACGGTCGGAGGTGAGGGTTTTCAACGCTCTCCGGTGCTACGAAACACCTCTCCCCCCCAAGGTCATTCCGGCAGTCCGCACGTCGGATCGGACGGTTTCGTCGTACATGTGTTTCCCGGCATGTATGCTGATGCTGTGTTGCGGCACTCCATCTGCTGTTCCATGTTCGGTCGGGGTTACGCGAGTAGTGGTTCGAATCGACTGGCATTGCGTCATTCATAACCTTCACAGTGCAAAAGAAATCCACGCCAACCAGTTTTCCTAATACTGTTGAAGCTATGAATGATGCAGTGCTATTCGATTCGAACCACTATTCGCACACCCTAATTGTTTGGACAGCCCCTTACGCACTTAGTAAACAAGCTGCTCATTTAGCAGTGAGTATCCAAGCCTGTCAAGGTTCGACACCTTTCAAATGGGACTATTCAAAATTATTCAATTAGTATTTCCAAATATTTTGTTGCTCGCCTACTAGTAATTTTCACGGAAACGTTGCATCGGGTGGGTCGTAGGGCTTTGTCCTTCCACCTCTCCTCAGCCGTTCATTTTAAAACGAAGAGTAAAAAGTTTATTTGATCTGCGCGAGCGAAAAAAACAAACAAACAAAAAAAAAAAACAGACTGTTCGCTGTGCTATCCGGTAAAGTCCCGTTAAAGGGGCCCTCCGGAGCGTTCTGCGATGGTCTATTTATGGCGGTAACTCAATCTACAGGCCCTAAGGATCCTAAAAATCATAAAATTACGGTCATGCGCGGCGGATTTTCCTACTAAAATTGCTATCAAAGTCCCCGGCACGCCCCCCTTTCTGAGATGACTCCGGAAAACGGGAGGGGCATCTCTTTACGCGTCAGCCAATAGCAAGCGAAGGATTCCGGCGTCACTGCGCGTCACCAACGGGGCCGACCGCCGACCCGCGGAGGAATCTCTCAAACATGCGCGGACCGTCGTCAAGGAGCCCGGACTTTGTGCTCGACAGTCGTCGTTCGTCGCACCGCACCGTCGCGCTGCTACTGCAATACGCAGTCGCATTCCACAGATGGCAAGAAAAAGTTTGACTCGTTGACGTGGACGGATCGCAAAGCTGGCTTCGGAGTCGGGATCCGCGGTAAGAAGGAACACGTGTCCCGCAAACGCACGCCTGCAGACGCCCCGGGAAGCAGACGAGCCGACGCGCCGACGCATCACCCCCTAGCAACAAGCTTGCGGGGAGAAAACATAGTTCGCTGGTTTTGGAACGATAATTGCGGACTATGTTTCCCGCACCACAATAAGCTGACGTTTTTCTCAAAGTCTAATTTACAACAAGCTTAAAAAGTGTTGCAATAATAACGTTCGCATTCACCGCGAGATGCAGCATTTCCATTGGTCAAGTTTTAGCGATGGGCAGGGAATGGGGGATTGTCTTCCAAGAGAAAATTGTCCCGATATATTTCTTCTGCCATCTGCTTAATAAACGGTTTTGTAATCTAAAACTTTGTATACATATTAACTTGCACCTACTACGCAATATAACAACATAAACAGACGATCGCAGAAAGCTGCGGAACATGAAAAAAAAAAAAAAAACTTTCAGCCTTTTTACTTTGGTGAAGAAGGAAGACCAGCGAAGCTGTACTATGGTGGGAATGAAGTAATGGCCGGCCGGAAGTCGGCAAGCCAGAGTGGAAAGGCTGGAAAGGTTGCCGCCATCTATGAGCGACGGTGGACACCAGACAACCGGCTTGCCGCCGTCGCTCATAGATGGCGGTAGCTGTCCGGAGTGTTGTGTCGACATCTATTTGCCGGCGGACACGATCCTGGGGAAACTAGCCCTTAACAGCTCAACTGTAAAAAAAAAAAAAAAAAAAAAAAAAAGTTAAGGGTTGATGGTTTTTCTTTTTTTTCTTTCGGCTGCAAGCGGGAAAGAAAGCAACGGGCTCGCTTGGAATGGTTGTGCACATATGAGGCTATGGTCTGTGTCATAATCTGTGCATCCCCCCGTCGCTTTGTATTCATACACCAACGTATTATCCTCACGCTGCGTCAAGGCAGAGGCCTTGCCTGTGTGGTGGCATACATAGAAAAAAATATTAATATATATATATATTTTTTTTTCTTTTTGGCTATTCAAGTGCAAAAGGTGCACGTGCCCGGTAGTGAGGCGGGCTTCCTTCACAGAGTAAAATACTTAACCTTTTAATATGTATATTAGCGGTTGAGATTAAAACACTAGCTAAGTGGTGCATGCCGTCGCTCGATGCGAACGTTTTATTAACCAGACTCATCCGTCCATTCATTCGGCATGCGCAGATGCAGAACCGGGTTTCGGCGTACGTTCATTGCCCGAAGCACCTGTGCACGAACATACCAAGGGCTTACAGACATCGTATGTAAGACAAGCCTCTTGGCATGCTGGCATCCAGCAAACTCTCTTACAGACATTGCCGGTCTTACGAATATCGTCTGTAAGACATCGCAATGCATCGTAAGACACCACGGGCCTTATTCCTATAAGGCCTGTGGTGTCTTCTCTCCGTAAGAGAGAAATGTCTGTAAGACATTTGAGTCTTACAGACATCGTCTGCAAAACAAGCCCGCCTCTCTAGGGTCGTAACATCTGACCATTGCCCACTTTGTGCAACACCACAATCACATGCATCATCATCTTCATCATCATCACTGGGAAAGGGGAACGATGATGATGATTTCTGTGCACGCTGTGTGAGGCGCCCTCTCAATCGGCTGCACCGGTGTCCCCAACGAGCGACATTTGTCCCTTTGCAGCGTCGGGGTTCGTGCTCCCGCCGACGCCTCCGTCGAGCCACAGCAGCGACTCGGACGGCAGCCTGTCGCCCGTGCACAGCACGGACAACCGGACGCCCACGAGCTTCACAGCCGCCGCCACAACGGGGCCCGGCTCGGACGTGCCCGTGCCGCCGCACCAGGGCACGTCGCATCACGCGTCGTCGTCGTCGTCGTCGTCCATGAGTCGCCGCAGCCAGTCACACTCGCGGGTCGCCGCGACGTCATCGTCATCATCATCATCATCATCATCGTCGTCGTCGTCGTCGTCACGGGCATCGGGAAGCGGCGGGAGTCAGCTCATCAGCAGCCAGTCGGTGAGCGACAGGGTACTCGAATTTCCTTGCTCCTCTACACTCTTTAAAGTTATTTACACCCTTCAGGGCGTGACGAGGGCGCTCCAGTAATCCACACTTACGGCTACACCTTTATGACACCTTTGATTGGCGTAATACACCTTTTATAATCAAGAAGTGGGGTGCTGCTGAGATATGCAAACACTCGGTGAACTCCAAAACGTATTCCGAAGAGATAGAACACTGGAAGATAACTTATTCGTCAACATACAGGGGGGATCGGTGGCCGAGTGGTCTAGCGCACACCAGCTCGGAGCACGTGGAGCGAAAGCTCGCGCTGCAGAACCCAGGGATCCTGGGTTCGAGCCCCACCCCTGCCCGTTTCGATCTGGATGAGCATCGTACCGGCGTGCGGTCGTGTATCACTACTGCGTGATGCACGTTAAAGACCCCAGGCTAGCGGCTGTACCGCACTGGCTAAATTTCTCATCTACAGCTGGGAGACTCGTCGCCCCTGTGAGGCAGACCAAGTTCTAGGCTGTATAAACATCCAAACAACCCAATTTTTTTTTTTTCGTCAACATACATGTATAGAAATAACAATGAAGAACCAAACTCCTTTATAAGTTGTTTTTGGACATCAAGGGAGTATACGATAGTGTGAGCCAGCAAAAACTCTGGGGTCAGCTGAAGGAGTAAAACGCAGATGCAAATTTGGCTAGGTTTCTTCAGCAGGTGTATACAAACAATAAGGTAATTTAAACATGGGAAGCACAAACTACACAACGCGCAGCAATAAAGGCTCAGGCAGGGCTGTCCGCTGTCGCCTCTGCTCTTCATGATATATCAAAAGTAATATGAACAAGAAATTAAAGCAGAGCAACTTAGGTTTTGATGGAAGTTATATGGAAGGAGGCAGAAATGTGGTACCGGTAATACCAGGACTGATGTAGGCGGACGACATAATACTTATGGCAGATAACCAGTATACGTTACAGGAACTAGCCGCAATATGTGGAGAGGAAAGGGACACCTTGGGCATGAGTTTTAGTAGGGACAAATCTGGAGTGATTGCGTTTAACGACGAAGAGGGGAATCCCCTGACGATGCAAGACATTATAGCAGACCATGTAGGAAAATACAAATATCTGGAAGTCTGGCTCAATGAGAAACGAAAATATCTAGAGGAACATGAGAATAATATAATTAGAAAAGATAAAATAAATTTATTTATTATGAAGCTCAAAGCGCTAGGAACCAGAATAGATATGAAGTGGTCAGAGGTAAATGGAAAGGAGTGATGGTACCAGGACTGTCTTTTGGCAACGGGGTACTGTGCATGATATCAGAGGCTCAATCAGGATTAGAAATTCGACAAAGAAGCGTAGGCAGATTGGCACTGGGATCGCATGGAAAGACATCAAATGAGGGAGTGCAGGGGGACATAAGCTGGTCGTCTTTTGAGAGCGGAGAGGCAATTAGTAAGTTGAAATTTCAACAAAGGCTGACGAAATGGGTGATACGCGGTGGGCACGGAAGCTATTCAAATATTTATACATTATAACTTTAAACACAAAATGGACAAACCGAACTCGAAAGCTTACATTTAAATACCTACACACTAGTGATGTGGCTGAACAGACTACTTCAGTGGAAAAGGGAGTGAAAGAGGCAGAAAGAAAAATGCGGGAGGTAGGAACGCAAGAAACATCAGCTCTACCAAGGTACAGGACACAAAAACAGGACGTAAGAAAGGAAACTGTGTTTGATAATTCACTGGGAAGTTCTTTACTATTTGAGGCGAGAACAGGAGTTTTGAGGACCAGGAAGTGTAGGGCTGAATTTCAGGAGAAAACACATTATGTGCTGCCTGCGATAATGAGAGCGAGACAGCACAGCACTTGGTATTGAAGTGCACGGGACTTCTCCCTGCCCTCCCTGAAGGGGTAACAGATTTTGCCAAGGCTCTGGGTTTCACTGGCAACGATTAAAGGACGAAAGACAAAAGGATTACAGCCACGAAGAGGCGACTAGAAGATTGGTGAGAATTATCTGGGGTAAATTTAATGATGCACAACTAACTAGTACAGCTGGAGACAGGCGGGACAGAGGATAATTGGGAGTTTGGGACTCCCTTCCGCGTGCCTCCGGACCAAAGTCTGAACTCTGTCCAGTAGTGGGTCCGGTGCTGGGGTAACGCCGACAAGGCTTAACCAGAGGAAAATTGGCGAAGGTCATCCCGATGATGGGGGGAAAAAATTGGCTTAGAAGGGTGGGAGGAATCATATGTTGGTCTTCCTAGATTTAGGCTAGGTGGCGCGAGCTACCGGCCGTTACAAAGGGTATAGCCATTAACATCCATCGATCCATCCATGAGTGGAACACACTCTATCATCGGGGGGAGGGGGGGGGGGGGTGAAAATGTTGTGAAAGGGGTAGGGACTTACACCCATTGCCACAGATTTTTAGCACCCTTAATTCGAGTGATGCGCCATTTATAATTGTAAAGTAGGGTCTGCTCCATCGAACATCTTTCAGTGGAAAAAATGCTATAGTGATGGCTTCCTTTTTTTTTTTTTTTTTAGCGCCCTAATTTGAGAATTGCACTCTTATTTAACTATTCAGTACATGCACTGCTGCATGGAACAGTCTTCGTTTTCCGAGGGGTGTGAAAAAGCATTCGCTCTTACCGATGGCTACACTTCATTAGCACCTTTATTTTGGCTTAATACAACCTTCTTAATTATGAAGCATGAAAAAATGAAATATCGAACATCCTTTATTTCCTGAAGAGTGTGCCGGTCCAGTGACTTAAGCCTGGTTCAGACAGTTTCATTTTCATTTCATTTATTGGTACCCTCAGGGCCCGAAGGCATTACAGAGGGGGTGGGATTATTACGTACAAGTTAATAGAACACTCAAATCACAAATCAAGTTCAAGTAGTATATGGATACAGCATTTTTAAAATCAACAGGATTAACAATTGTGGCGATGGATTTGGAAAGGTGATTCCAGTCAGCAGACGTACGAGGTATGAATGATCTGTAGTGGGTATTAGTGTGGCACTGCGGAATTTCGACTTTATGTATGTGATCATTCCGTGATGATACGTAGGATGGCTTCAGTAAGAGTTCAGTCTTAAGGATTGGGTTGTGAAAAAAAAGTTTCTGAAATAAACTTAATTGATGAAACTTTCGTCGTAAAGAAAGAGTTGGCAAGGATAGGCATTTTTTCATAGAGGTTACCCTTGATGTACGATGGTAATTAGACAGAATGAAACGCACAGATCTATTCTGGACAGCCTCCAAGGCGCCGACGAGGCTCTCAGTGTTAAGATCCCAAACAGCAGAAGCGTACTCAAGTTTTGGCCGGACTAGTGTTTTATAGAAAAAGAGCTTCAAAGTCGAAGGAGTCTAGAAAAAATTACGTTTTAGATAGCCAAGCATGCGGTTGGCATTGGAAATGACGTGGTGAACATGCGATTCCCATGAGAGGTTAGATGTGATGTGAACGCCCAGATATTTGTAAGTGTCAACCCGCTCTAAAGTCATATTATTAAGGATATAGGAAGGAGGATCGTTAACTCACCTTGGAAATTATCATGTCTTTACACTTGTCAACATTTAATGACATGTGCCAAGTGTCACACCAACTTGAGATGGAATCGATATCATTTTGAAGAAGTAAGATGTCAGAACTGTTAACAATTTGGCGGTATACAACACAATCATCTGCAAATAAACAAATAGATGTTACATTCAATGGTAAGTCATTAATGTAAATGAGAAAGGGAAGAGGGCCAAGTACAGATCCCTGAGGTACTCCGGACGTTACTGAAACTTTGGACGAGTATAGGTATTATTACAATTTACGAACTGTGAACGATTAGAAAGTACATGCTGTTCAATGTTAAGTTTGTGAAGCTTAAGAAGGTTATGAGAGATTCGTCAAACGCCTTGGAGAAGTCAAGAAAAACACTGTCAATTCGTGAACCACGATCTAGAACCTGATGGAAATCATTTTTTAGTCTTACAAGTTATGTCTCGCATGAAAAAGATTTCCTAAAACCGTGTTGGTTAACGTTGAAGAATGAATTAGATTCAAGAAAACTAACCAGATTAGAATAAATTATATGTTCCATCGTTTTACAACAAATACTTGAGTGAAATGGGTCTAAAGTTAAAAGGGAAATGTTTGTCTCCAGTCTTGTGTAGTGGAATCACCCTTCCAGTTTTCCAGTCGTCTGGAAGCTGACCTAGTGAAAGAGATTGCTCAAATAGTTTAGAAAAAATGATTGATGTATATTCTTTTGTATTCTTTAGAAACATTGAATTAATATTGTCAACACCAGATCACGATGATTCTTTAGTTGACTCTATAATTTTTAAAATGCCATTCTCATCAATGACAATTGGATTCATGGGAAAAAAAGTCATATGAAGGATATGACGGACAAAATGAATCAGTAACATTCTTAAATGCACTAGAAAACGTGTCATTGAGAATAGTCGAACACAGTGAATTGGGAATCATTTCACCGGACTCATTTTTAAGTGAAACGGAACACTCAACACTGGGATTCATTACACTCCAAAACTGTTTAGGATTATTAATTAGCATAGATGGTAGGCACTCATTAAAGAAGTAATATTTAGCCTCCCCGACTGCTTTTTTGTATTCATTCGCTGCGAGATTATAACGTTGCCAGTATTCCTCCGAGTCAATGCGCTTTGTGTTTCTGAACAAACGTTTCTTTTTATTTGAGAGCCTTCGGAGTTGAGGAGTGAACCATGGAGACTGGGTGTTTGTTATAATTGAGCGTAATGGAATGGTGCTCATTAAATAAAGAAATGGCTTCGTTCTTATATAAATCCCCATTGGTTTAAACGGAACGCTCGCAAAACTCTGGCAAAAAGTCCTCCAAAAAACAGCACAGACCTTTATTAATCGCTGAGTAGTTGGCCCTCTTGTAATCCCGAATTTGTTTGATCTGTTTTCTATTACGGCACACGGGAGTTATAAAAGAAAAATTAAGCAACGAGTGATCACTGAGACCAGGAAGGTATAATATATCAGAAATTAAATCGGGTGTATCAGTCAGTATCAGGTCAAGCACGTTCGCCGAAGAGTGTGTTGTCCTTGTTGGAAATCTTACAATTTGCGAAAGATTAGAGTCAGAACATAGATCTAAAAACTGGTTACATTCAGTTGAGGGGTTTTTCGATGAAGAGCTTAAATCAGGGGATAATTAAAGTCACCCTAAAGAAAAATGGGTAAGTTTGGAAAGCGAACACGGACAAGGTTATTGCATCATGAAGTTGCTCAACAAAAGTATTTGATCCTGTTGGAGGACGATAGCAACAGCCTAATACTAGCGTTTTGTGTCCAATGGAAAGACCTACCCATATTATTTCAAGATCAGATTTTATGTTTATCAAAAAAGATTTAAGTTCAGGCACAGCTGCTATCAAAACTCCCCCTCCAGAACGTTCCTTGCGGTCATTGCGGTAAACATCAAAACTTTTACTACAACGAAATATTTCAGAATCCTTAACTTGAGAGGAAAGCCAAGTTTCAGTTAGCACAACTAAACCAGCATCACATATGAGTCAATCATTGAGCATAAGTAATCGCGTTTTTTTAATCAGACTTCGGATGTTGGCCGCTAGGCGGAGCCAGACGGATGAGAAAGGGGAGCTGAAAGGAAGCACGCTAACATTTCTTTCAGAGCGTTGGAATGAGGTTGACACACATATTCGGTCTTCTTGGGGGTTGTACGTATAGCAGTTGTTATTTTGATCAAGCTTGTTGAAACGCAGTTTGAAAGTACTTCCTTGGGATTTGCCAAATTCTATGAGTTCTCTCCTAGCCAGTCGAGTAGCAAAAGAAAAATCTTCACTGTCAGTCACGCCTTGCGTTTTTAGTTGCATTTTGCGAGATAAGATAAGATCCCTTGTTTTGAAGGAAGAAAAATGTACGATGATGGGGCGACATTTGTTCGCAGCAAATGCCTCTAGCTATATGTGAGCGCTCTATACCAAATGTTCCGCTTATGGAAGGCAAGGAGCATTCGGAGAGCAGGCTTGTTATCTTTCGTTCAGCGTCACCCCACGTTTCTGAAGGAAGATCAGGAATACCGTAAAAGATAACGTTGTTTCGACAAGACCGGTCCTCCATATCATCAAGACGCTCCCGCAGAGCGATGTTTTCATTCCGTAAGCTATCAGCTGCTTGACCGGCGACACCGTATTCTTGCTGTTTTGTTTCAAGAAGGATTGTTTTAGTCTCAACGACATGCAAAATTTTGTTAATGTCAGCCACCTCTTCTTGCACAAGTTTCTGGTTTTCCTTTATCTCATTTACACTGGTAAGCAGCTTTGCCTGTCCCTGTTCAAACTGAAGCGAGCGAGTATCCAAGCTCTGTAAAAGAGCGTACATTTGGCTAGACTGCTTAGCCTGAACATCGCTCATGGGACCCGGATTGGCCTCAACGTCGCCACAGCACAGCAAAGACTGAACAGTGTTTCTGTCACACTAAAAAAAAATGCAAATATTGGTGTGGGCAAGACACCAGTAGTAAAAAACGATTATCGGATCGGTAACAATGATCATTCCTTCTTCCACATACCTGGAAAAAAAGAAGACACGTTTAAGCATGGTGAACGAGCTGCTGCCGTCCTGCCCACTGGCGTCGAAGCCTTTTCCGAAGCTTTTTATGCCGTCGATGTGCGCCGTAGTCATCCCGGTGAGCGTCGCAGAGTAGCCCGTGAATACGTGACCGCGGTTGTCGTTGTCACACAGAACAGTCTCGGGTATCGGGGACGATTGTGCGTCAGCACAATTCACGGTACTCGTCGCGTCGCTTGAAACCACCACGATCCGATCTTGAAACTGTTCATCGGAGGCTGCAGGTGTGTTGGTAGCGTTCGCAGAACGACGAAAAACGACAGCAACCGCAAAGTCACCGGTACAACTGTTTTCCGTATACGAAACATGGCAAACAATGCAAGAGGTAGATTTGTGGAGAAATTTTGAGCTACCACTGCCCCGCGGTGTTCCGGTCGTTTTGGTGGCATTGAACGCAACCAACGGAAATCTGAACCACACACATAGTTGCACCTTTCTAGCACCCTTTTTTTTTTCGGTGCAAAACACGAAAGCATTAACATATCCGCTTTAAAAAGGCGAAAACAAAATCTTTAGTGGAGATTCATTTAGAGTGCGTCGACAAAAACTAATTAAATGCACCAACATGTTTTTTATTTTTTTTATTTTTTTTAAGATGCACTTTTTGGATCTTTGAGATTTTATTCCCTATGTGAAACATTGACGTGGAAAAAGCAGCATACTCGTAACCTTCGTAACTGTGGAGGCGATCGTTTGGGAATAAGTGCCTTCAACTGTCGAGTGTATACAAGGCGGTGGGTCTGCTCTGCAGCTGAGGTTGACTCCGTGCATGAGAACGCTGTATAAGGTGCGTGTTGCCTCTACATGTATGCCCAGAATGCTGCTAGCATCTCCAATTCTCTTTTTTGTGTTGCTGCAACCCGTTAGGGGCGTTAGCCCTGGAGCAAGCTGATCCATGGCCTTCAGGATGTAAAATGTTTTAGTGTGTATACGTATATAGTACGACGCACGTGATCATTAATATATCTTAGACTCACGCGTGCGCGGGTGAGTCCGGGATTTACTAACAATGACGTCATCCGCTGGTCTTGTCTTCTAGGTGGTATTAATCTGACACGCCCCGGCAGTGAAATACTATGGAAAATTTAAGAACCTCCTTGGAAATCTTTAAGGTGTTACTACAGTCTCAATGGCACGAGGCCACGATGGGCGTAGTCAGACGACATCACAACGGGCATCTTCAGTAGGAGCACGAATGGTACACCTCAAAAGCACAGTGTAGAAGACGTCTTGGGGAGATCGTCTTCCTTAGAAGGCAAGGCAAGCGGGATGGCCGGGACGAGACGCCAAAGAGTCCTGTCGGTTTCAGGTTTGAAAGGATGATTCACAGGTGTCTTTTATTTTTCGTTTTCAGAAAGGTGCCACAGGAGTGTTGGTCCTGACGGATGAAGAGAAGCGCACCCTGCTGGCGGAGGGTTACCCTATCCCTCAGCGGTTACCGCTCACAAAGGCCGAGGAACGCTCCCTCAAAAAGATACGGCGGAAAATAAAAAATAAGGTGAGTTTCCGAGCGGAAGAGTCTTTCCATACTCTCTTCAACCCTACGCTGTGAGTTACGCGCTCGCCAATCAACCACTTCCTGATCATCCCGCTTGTATGAAATCGAGGAGATCATGTGGCCTTGGTTCACGCGTCCCCACTTGTGTCTCTGTGTTCTGTGTGTGTGTTTCACGGGCTGGACTAGGGAAGCCCAGTTAGCTCACGTAGAAGAAAGGGTGTGTGGGGGTGAAACAGTTAGGGGATTGTTTGTTGTTTGTTTTGGAGAGAGCCGATTTCAATCAGAATACGCTTGTAAAAAGCTGCTCGCCGCGTTTTCCTCCCCAAACGAGCGCGTACGAAATGCGCAACACCCAGACCCGTCTGTCTGGCGTGGATACGAGCACGAGCGTGATCATGTGGCAAGACAGACGTGCGATTGGTCTATAGCTTCATCCGCACTGTAAGCTTAGGGCGTGACGTCACACTGCTGCGGTGGCGCTGCTGTCGGCACGGCACATGAGCAACGCTTCACCCTACGCGAATTCATTGTTTCTGCGCACGCCACCTGATCTGGGAAAACATGGACTTGACTTGTAGACAGCACATTGGCCTACAGACTGTTGGTATGGACATTCAAGAAACGAAAGCTTGTGTGTCCTTATTTGTTATCTTTAAGAATAGAAACAAAAAAAATCTTTTTTTCTTTTTTGACAATTGGGGACGTTATTGCGGACACGAGCTGGAGACTGCCAAGTCGCGGGAGCGCCTTTCCCGCTCTGCAGTGATGTGATCGATCCAGTGTTTACAAAGCTTGAATGAAACGAGAGAAACTTGTCAGAAGTTTTAATCTCCAGATCAAATGTTCTACCAAGGATGGTGGAATATTTGCAATGGACACGAGCCGTGCTTCATTAATCGACTTTGGCTCGGGTGCAATTCCAGTGCAAAATTTCGGGCTGGGACTTGTTGGGAGACCATTGCGTCAAAGGGAAGTCGCAGAACAATGTCCGGGGCTCAGCACGAGCATTGCCAGTCTATAGGCCCTTGCTTTGGTGGACGAAATCAAAGGGCCTATAGACTCGCGGTCAGAACGCGCGGTCGCGTCTTCTGACCACGAGCCCAACATCTATGCGATTTTCATACTTGCCTCGTGCAGCGGCCACCAATACTTACACCTACACAAACTTAAAAAAAAAAAAAAAAATGATTCTAAGAATCCACGAAAAAAAATAGTTTTTTGTTAATGCTGTCGCCAGTCGCGGATGAACGCTTTCTAGTGACATCAAAGCACACTGAGTTAGAAGCCAAGCCATTGATCAGGGACACAATCCGGCATCTTCAGAAAAAAACTAATGTAAGCGGTTTCTTCTCAGATATCCGCCCAGGAGAGTCGCCGGAAGAAGAAGGAGTACATGGACTCCTTAGAAAAGAAGTAAGTACTACTTCCTTTTACTCCCTCGGTTGGGGACCACAACGGAATTCCTCGGTCATTTGTTGTCCTCTAATGACCGACGTCTCTTTCGTTGGCATCGACTGCCGTCGAGGGTCACTCTTTGGCGTGCCATGTTCAACTTTGCATGCTTTGAAAGTCTGCCAAGTGAGGGATTACAGCTATGTTCAGTGGCAATGCATCGTGTCCCGCCTGAAGCACGAGGGCCTTTGCTGGTGTTAAACTATAAAATCTGAAAGTATCCCAAGAAGCAAGTGCTCTTGAGAGCACTTGGTTCTGCAGACATCTTTAGAATGTCCTAAAGTTCCATAATTGTCCTGTGGACATCTGCGTAAATCTGGTTGTGCACACCGACATCTTTCATTTGAGAGTGACAGTCACCGATCGTCTTCTTTCTTGCAGAGTCGAAACGTTACTCAGTGAAAACCTGGAGTACAAGAAAAAGGTGGACGTTCTGGAGAGCAGCAACAGGTGAGCTTCTAAACACCGTTCCAGTGTTTACAGATCTATAGCTCCGCGTGCAATTCCATAAGTCCAGCAGGCGCGTGTTTGTGGCAGTTCGGAAGACGAGCAAATCAAGTGCCATGGGCGCGAAGGCTGAACAATGGCACGGGCTAAAAGTCTCTTGTGCGTAACGGTCTATACCGGGGTTCTCGAAACCCCGGCCCGCGGGCCAGAAACGGTCTGCGAAGGCCTTCGGGGCGGCCCGCGGCTGGCCGCGGTCCTTCCGGTGACGCCCTTCCCATGGCCCGCTTCCGCCAAGCCTGCTGCTACCGACGCAAAAATAAGCTCGTTTAATAAAACGGCGCCGCGACGCGCACCAAACGCGCAGATGAAGATAGCAGAACAGACAACTATTTCTTAAGTTTTTTTTATACTTAAAATTTCTATATTTATATTCCGGCCCTCGAGAATCAGATCACCCCTTAATAAAAACTCTTAAAAAAAAAAAAGTTTGCAGGTTTTTGGTTTATCTGAAACCGAGGGATCTCTTCTGGCGAGCTCTCTTTGGACCCTCACGAGGGCTGTAACGCGTGAGGCGAATTCGAGGCTTTGCCCCTGACACGAAGACTCAAGGTACCACAAGCTTCCCTCAGGTGTGCGTGTCTGCTGGCGATGCGCGAAAGAATTAGCCCAAACACGACCGCGGCATTTTTTTTTTTTTACATTTTACTTTGACACGGCGTTGACAAACAATGCATTCCATCGTTTACGCTAGTGCCGCGATGAGTAATCTCTACCGCAGGAGTCACCGGCAGGATCGGAAATGCAGGGCGTCTCTTTCGGATGCTTGCAGCCTCTAGCACGCGCTCTTGCCTTTCGTCGTGCTCCGGCTTCTTTGGTTACTGCGGCTTTCGTTGAGCTTTACTAGACGCCGAAGCGCTATCGAAGGGTATCTGGAGGGGAGGCCAGAGGAGGGACCTATCTTCCTTTCTCATATCGTCAATGTCTTGAAATCTATGATGCCTGGAACGCGTCTCCGATTGGTGTACTTACAACGTCCAAAAAGAGAAAAAAAATGGCGGTCTCTCGATATCCGCTTGATAACGTCATAGAATTGTCATGCTGCCGCCGACCGCGGTCCTGGCGGTGTAACGGCAGCGATGTGGCAGACGCCTGTTCCGCTGCAGGGTCGCTCTCCAGCTTGACAGTCCCCGCGGAAGTTTCGGCAGCCGGCGGGAGATGGACGCTGCGACGACAGCGACACTCGAGTTTGCTCGTTGCTTTTTGCGTTGGAACTTCAACGATGAACCACCAGCAGGATTGCCCTATACATCCGACAGCATGACGCTCTGCTCTTTGTGGCGTCGTTTGTTTGCCACCATCAGGACCACTTTGGATGCGTGGCCGCGGAAATAGGACGCTAAACACACCAGTCGGAGACGCGTTATAGGCACCGTGTAAACAACAAGGTGTAAAGTGGGGCGAGTTGGTTGATGGTCATATTGAATGGGTTAAAACAGCGCAAAAAGACGAAGGACCAGTAAAAGGAAACACACAGACGCAGCGCTGACTTACAACTGAATTTTTACTTCTGCGCCATCCAGCAAGTAAACTTGAAACGAGATAAACATACAAGCAATCGACCCGATAACACGTCATCTTCCCATCAATCCGACACGTGGCTACAAGTATTTACCCTCCTTTCTGATAAAATTGATCTCATCCCTAGCCAGGGCAAGTTACGGAACACTTTTGCACATGCCCGCGTCATGGTTGGCAATAAAAAAAGCTTCGTCAATCTCCCGAGCATACTTAGTTTTATGTCTGGCTAAAATCTTAATTTCATTAAACATTGGAGAGCGTGCACATCTGTCACAGTGGACCGCTAAGTTTCCAGACGGGGAGGAGCGTAAGGACAGAGGATGTTCCCTCGCCCGGTCATTAACACATCTCCCTGTCTGCCCAATGTACACTTTTCCACAGGACAGCGGAATTAGACACACCACCCTACATGCGCAGGCGATAAACCGGTTGTAGTGCATAACGTGACATTGTGTACCCGCGCGACCACCTCGATTCACGGCTGCACACAGCCGCTCTAACTTAGCTGGAACCGAAAACACAACTGGCACGTTGCACCTACTTGCAACCTTCTTGACACCGTGAGACACCTTGTGCATGTACGGCAAGAGCACAGCTAGGTCTTATCGTTGGTTTTTGTCTTGCCTCAGTACCAGCAGGCCCCCTAAACACCTTAAAGGAGTCATGAAACGCTTTTTAAACTTTTTTCTGTTTAGCTTTCCTCCTCAACTCATAAATCGCGCATTGTACCAAACAGTTCAAGAAGTCGGAAAGGGGGGAGTCCCCTCTTGCTCGGAATCTCGCTTGTGTAGCCTAGAGCCACTAAATGAGCTGCGCTTAGAGTATCGGCACTCCGTTCCCCGACATTGTTGTGGGCGCCGCCATTTTAGCTCGTATGCAGGGCAGACGCAACTGCCGATCGTCATGATTCAGAAGTGCGACTTCCTCAGCATTAAATTTTGTGTTAGGAAGCTCATGCAATATTGCCTTGCTCTGTCGCGAACTGTTTAAAGGGACAATGAAGGCAATTTCGGAGATCGTTTTGGCGATTGAACTGGGTTCCAGGCACGTCTGAGGCCACGTTGCCCAAATTTCAGCCGAAACCGGCGCTTATGTGCCGCGCAAATCAATTAAACAGTCGCGGTAATAATTGTACCGGGATCGACTGGGGCGACGCCCCGAGAGTTGCGGGAGAAGCCAGGAGAAGCGGAGCTCACGTGACCAATGCGGGGCCAAGGAGCGCGACGTCACAAGAGACGCGTCAGCGATTGGTCGAAACGAGAGACGTGCCCTCAGTCACGTTTTGGTTCGCGATTTTTAGAAATACTGTTCTAATTTCCGCTTGAATAACCATCAAAAGTATAAAGTCGGATCGGAAATGATTACTAAACCGTTAATAGAGCCGCATCATTGTTTTTTTCATTGCTACGCTGGACGCGAAACCGGCAACGAGCAACTATGGGTCAACAAAATAAAATTAAAAAAGAACACGGTACTCGAAAGATTTTGCAAAATGGTAGCTGTAGATGGCTGTTCTAACGGTCGACTGAAGACCAGTATTCGTCCGGGCGACGCTAGTTTTCACGTGTGGGTTGCTGTTCGTGTTCTTTGACGACGAAAAGAGGACGTCCGCGGAGGAACCAGATCCCGGAACGGCGGGATCGCTGCCGCTTTCCCCTCGGCATCTCCCCCGCGTCCGTCCTTCGGCATGCGGGCCGTGTTGTAGTAGTAAAGAGATGTTACTAAATGCCGGCTAACTTCATTACACGGTGGTTCGGAATCAGCCAGCCGCTGTTCCAGAGAGACAGACACGAAGCGAACCTTTTCAACTCTCAAGAAGAACTGTTTATTTCAGAACAACTAACGGGAAGAAAGACGTGCGAGAAGGGGAAAGAGGGTACACGGTGTCGAGTGACCAGAAGCCGCCCCTCCGAGGCGCAGCTGGCGCTGTTTACACAGGGGTCCGTGGTCGCCCGTTCGCGTTCGCGGGTGGCTCGGTGGAATGTCCCCTCTGGGTCATAAATTTCGGGAGCACTCGAGGGGAGACCGTTTGTTCCGAGAAACACAAGCACAAGACGGAACGAATGCGCATGCAGACTCTGAAAGCAACACACACACAAAATACAACAATCTCCCCCGGATGAGCTATTGCGGTAGCTCATCGTTACCAACTTCTAGGGGGTATAACAACTGAATCGGACGCCTGAGTTCGCCTCCCCCGGGTAGCACAAGTCTGCAGGACCGCACCCTGCCATCTCTCCCACTGAATGTCTCTTTAACACGGCAGGTCTTCCACATGTGTCGCGGGAGACTGTCCTCGTTCAGCAGGCACATGTCACCCACGTTGAGGCCGCTTGAGGGGGTGGGTCTGACGAGGTGTGCCGATCTCAGCTCCAACAAATATTCACGGCGCCACCTTCGCCAGAACCCCTCCACGATGGCACTGCGGTACCTCCAACGCCGCACCAGCCTGGTCCGACTCGCTGCACCTGTAGGGGTCTCTGCTGATAGGCGATGCGGCGGAAGACACGTGAGCTTTCGCCCCACGAGGAAGTGAGCAGGTGATAGTGGCTCTGGCTCACCTGCCTCGGGGTACAGGACAGTCAATGGCCGCGAGTTGAGCACGGCCTCTATCTCGGCGAGGACGGTGGAGAGTTCCTCGAAGGTCAAACTGCTGCGACTCAGCACTTTGCGCAAGCACACCTTCACTGATCGTACGAGACGCTCCCAAAATCCTCCCCACCACGCTGCTCTTTCGACGGTGTATTTCCAACGAATGCCATGGTTCGCGAAATACGACTGCACCTCGGGCGATTTCATAGCGCGGAACATCTCCTTGAGATCCTTCTCCGCTCGCTTGAATGTCAGCGCATTATCGGAGTACACTATGGCGCTGATTCCTCTGCGTGCAACGAACCGCTTAAATGCTAACAGGAACGCAGCAGCGGAGAGGTCGCTCACCAATTCAAGATGAACAGCACGGGTGACGGCGCAGGTGAACAGGGCTACGTAAGTCTTCTTAGAGCCGTTAACCTCTCTGTTGAACAGGGGTCCCGCGAAGTCCACGCCTGTGATAGCGAAGGGCTCACTCCTTTTTACCCTGTCTGCTGGCAGAGGAGCCACAGGTTCCGATGCGGGCCTGCAACTTTGTTTGCGGCAAACCAAGCACCGGTGAACCGTTTTCTTCACGGCTTGCCGTCCTTTAACAATCCAGTACACCTCTCTCAGCTGTGCCAGCGTGTCTCGGACTCCTGCGTGCAACAGTCGAATGTGTTCCCTTGATATGAGAAGGGCGGTGAACGCATGGTCGGAGGGCAGAATAATAGGATGCTTCGTCTCGTCATTGTTGTCACTGAATTGCAGTCTTCCTTTCACCCTAAGCAGACCGTCGTCATCGAGGTACGGCCCGAAACGTGAAACGGCGGAGTTTTCTTTCAGTTCTTTTC